AAAAAAAAAAAAAAACGGCATGTGCACTGACCAATTAGAACTGACACTGGACCACGGTGCTAAGATAGAGCCCTGCTGGGCCAAGTGTTAACCCTTTGCTTGCTGGACGGTGGGGAGGTCAGGGGTTCTGCGGATGAGTTGGAGCGGCCAGGCCAGCGGGGCAAAAGCTATTTGGTATGGAAGCCTTGCAATGTTTTAACAGCTGGTACGGCTCCCAGAAGTGTGCATCGTGGCTGAACATCAGCTCTGGAGGTAGCTGTTTGCAGGGCACGGGTGGTGACTCCTAGCCGAGCTGGCGCTAACCTGTGTCACTCCGTAGATCCAGAGTATCACAGATGAGTCTCGCGGCTCAATCCGGAGAAAGAATCCAGCCAACACTCGGCTCCGCCTCAACGTCCCAGAAGAGACCGCTGGTGACAGTGAGGAGAAGCCAGAAGAGGAGGTGTGCGCCTGGGTGGTTTGGCCCCAGCCGTGGGAGCCGCACCTCTGGCCTCGGCCAAGGGAGTCACGTGCTGCCTGCCCCTTCCTTCATCTCCCAGGTGCAGCTCATCCACGACCAGAGCGCTCCCAGCTGCCCCAGCAGCTCTCCGTCCCCGGGGGAGGAGCCTGAGGGGGAGGGCGAGGCCGATCCTGAGAAGGTGCATCTCACCTGGACCAAGGACAAGTCGGTGGCAGAGAAGAATAAGGGCCCCAGTCCCGTCTCCTCGGAGGGCATCAAGGACTTCTTCAGCATGAAGCCGTAGGGGCCTGGGGGCTGCGGGCTCGGGGCTGGGGGCTGGGGTGAGCCCGCAGGGTCTTTGATCCCCGTGGCAGAGCAGATGAGCAGAGGAGGTCCTGGTGGGAAGACCCTGCCCAGACCTTGTCTGGGCGTCCCCATCCGAGGACCTGGGGTCGGGCTGATTGCCGAGGGTCGGCGCTCCCAGGGGCGCCGTGAAGAAGCGAAGGGGGTGTGGCCGGGAGAGCGGGACCGGCGAGCACTGGGTGGGGGAGGGGGAGGATGGTGGCCCAAGTGCTCAGCCCCTCCTTCTTCTGACCCCTCTCTTGTTCTTCCTCTCTTTGCTTCTCTTGTGTTTCCTGAAGGGAGTGGGAGAATTTGTAAGTGCTTCAGGATTTTTTAATTCTCTCTTCTGGGTTGGCCAGGGTCCCTGCTCTCCTCAGTCTATCACGAACCCTCAGCGCGGGCCCCTGGCCGTTTGGGGTCTCTGAACAGCCCAACTTGGAGAGGTCTGGGGTTGACCGGTGCCAGCGGCCCAGTGCGCCTGGGGCTGCAAGGGCATTGGGTCCTGCTCTCCGGCTTCGGGCTCACGCGCCCGCCTCCCCTCCTGCCTCCCCCAGGAACCAGTCCAACGTGCGGCGCATGCACACTGCCGTGCGGCTGAACGAGGTCATCGTGAAGAAATCCCGGGATGCCAAGCTGGTGTTGCTCAACATGCCTGGACCTCCCCGCAACCGCAACGGTGACGAAAATTGTATCCAGGACCTAAAGTGGGGCGTGCGGGAGGGAGGCTGACGTCCGGGGCAACGGGGTCCTCGTCCTGGGAGGGAAGAGCCGAGGCGTTCCCGCGTCAGGAACCTCAGACCGGGAGGCGGGCCCAGGGGTCCCCGGCGCCCGATCGCGACCCTCCACTCCGTCAGGGCGAAGGGGACGCGGCTTTTCTCCTTGACTGGCGCTCAGACATGGAGTTCCTCGAGGTCCTCACCGAGCACCTGGACCGGGTGATGCTGGTCCGCGGCGGCGGCCGCGAGGTCATCACCATCTACTCCTGAGAGCCAGGACCTGCCACCCGGG